TGAAATCCTGTCGTCAGTGATGGATGATAAAACATTGCAATGTTTATCTCTTTCCCAGGCCTGAATCATGGGGACTTCAGTCACACCAACATTCTAGTCCAGCCTGCTCACACACCAGCTGACCACTCCGACCCGACTGAGCTACAGCAGCAGCTGGATATCTCTGGGTTTCTGGACTTCAGTGACATGAATTATGGGTATTATGTCTTTGATGTGGCCATATCCATAATATATCTGATGCTAGGGAGTAACGATCCCATTGGCGCTGGGGGCCATGTCCTCTCAGGCTTTGAGAGTGTAATCCCTTTACTCCCTGAGGAGTGCAATGCCATGTTTCTGTTGGTTCTTTGCAGGTTTTCTCAATCGCTGGTTATGGGGAGATACAATGCTCTGCTTTACCCTGAAAATGCAGAGTATCTTCTGAGCACTGGGAGAGCTGGCTGGAAGTGTCTCCGTCAATTGTGGTCGCTGGGGAAAGATGCAGTGGGAAAGATTTGGTTTGAGACAGGCAAGTCCCACTGCATTTGATGCAGACCCTGTTTCAGTGTAGTCCCAGGCACATTGGCTTCCAGGAGAACAAGAACCCCTCTACAAGGAGAATTATTAGAATAAGTTCAACCTGTACATTCCAGAGCCTGGAATTGTATTAATGTTTTGAGTTCCTAATTATTAATATATATTTTTAACATCATTTTTCACTCCCTTTATTCTGGATTTCTGCTGCTTGTCCAATTCCAGCTGTAGACCTATCTCTCAAAACCACTTAAACTTCCTCCACAATTTCATTTGTCCAATCCCAAAACAGTGCCTTGACCCATTCTGTGTAATAATACTAGACAATTGACCTTGCTAATGACCTCTATACCTGATTGGCCTGTAGACCCCAGGATCCAAAGCAGAGCATTAATCTCCTTTAAACCGCACAGCATCACTGATGATATTTTGGATGATAATGAGAATGTTATATCACGAATAGGACTGAAAATCCACAAAAATGTCCTCCCTCCACACGCTGATTTGTTGTCACCTTGCACCCATTTTGGTTGTGTCATTTGCATTGTACAGTTTGAACACTCAATCCGGGTTCCACATATTTACCAGCTGTAATGCTGGGAATGTCACTTAAAAACTGAGTTTTAAATAAATGTCACTGAGAATTAGTATTCTGGAACAGGATGTGATTAAGCTTCACAACACAATGGAAATTGAGGGGCAAACACTCAAATGCAAGAATGAAGCAGACGTATATTTGCAAAAATCATTGGAAGTGAGAGGGCAGGTTGACAGAATGGTTAATAAATTATACTGGGCTATGTAAATAGGGATGTGGAATACAGAAGCTAGGAAATTATGCATCTACTTAAAGCAGTGGCTCAGCCTGCCCTGGAGGATTGTGTCTAGCCTGGGCACCACACTTTAGGAAGAATGTGAACACATTAGAGAGTGTGCAGAAAAGTTTCAGGAGAATGGTTCTGGTGCTGTGGAACTCCAGTTACCTTGATTAATAGGAGAATCAGGAGCTGATCAGGAGCTGGGTGGCATGGCGGCTTAGTGGTTAGCACTGCTGCCTCACAGTGCCAGGGACCCAGGTTCAATTCCAACCTCAGGCGACTGTCTGCATTGCACGTTCTCCTCGTGTCTGTGTGGGTTTTTCTCTGGGTGCTCCGGTTTCCTCCCAAGGTCCAAAGATGTGCAGGCTAGGTGGATTGGCCATGCTATAGTGCCCAGGGATGTTTGGGTTAGACATGGGGAATGGGTCTGGGTGGGATGCTCTTCAGAGGGGTGGTGTGGACTTGTTGGGCCAAATGGCCTGTTTCCACATTGTAGGGATTCTATTCTATGATCATATTGGAGAAGAGGAAATTTGTTTCCAGATGTTCAAACCCACGATGGGTCTGAACAGATGAGGTGGGGGAAAACTTCCCCATTGATTGAAGGTTTAAGAATCAGAAGGTACAGATTCAGGCTAATTGGCAAAATAAGCAATAGAGACATGAGGATAAACTGTTTTTACTCAGTGGCTGCTAACTATCGGGAATTAACTGCTAGAGAGTGTGACGGAGGCAGGTTTAATCAAGGCTTTCAAGAAGAAATTTGATCGTTACCATAAAAGGCAGAATATGCAAGGTTAAAGAGAGGAGCGAAGGAGTGTCTCCAAGTGAATTACACCTTGATATGGCTGGCACAAACAAAACAGGCCAAATGGCCTCCTACAGTGAAACAATTCTATGCTTCTTTGATTCTATTCAATATCGCAGAATATAATGCTGCATTGCTTGTGGACTCGATAATTTATTGAGACACACACTTCCCCTGTTGCCTGTAGCTACTCCTACCTGGAGATGTCACAACATGGCAACGAGTTTCCATAAAGAAAGCCAGTAATGTTATAAAGCAGAGGTTGACACTCACTCTGGGAACTAAAAATATCATGAAACACCCAAAGAGGAACAGCTTGCTCTATACTCTGTTAAAAAGGAGTGTGAAAAGTGGTGCATCCTGCTGTTTGGCAAGTTCTAGAGGTTAAATAAAACAAGTCTCCGACATTCACTTTAAAAACAATAAGTAACAATTATTTGTCTAACTCTAACAATAAACAAATTAAATTAACTATTAACAAACCGAATAAACCCCTTCTAACTACTAACTATTCCTGAATGAACCAAGAGTCTAATCGGATGCTATCCAATAAATACAAGTCCCACTTATATAAGATAAAAAGAAGAATTTAGTCTCTTGAAATTACAGCCAGGTTACATGTCTTCCAGAATGTTCTGTGCCTTCTCCATCGATTCTTCTGTCAGGAATATTAACTAGTTGTGCAGCAGGTACGTTTGATTTTTGGATGGTGCTTTCTCTAAGACTTAGAGAAGACTATGAGACCCGCGATTCTCTCTTCCAGAGCTGAGAGCTATCAACTCTAGCAGATGGCAATTAACTCTCCTCAGATGGAAGTTAGCTCTGGGGGTCTGTGTCCAACTTCCCCCTTCTATTATACCCTTGATGACTTATCAATTTCTTACAATAGGATTGGTCCTATGTTGTCAAAACCATCAGATTTAAATTTAATTGGTTTTTGGTCTCTGAGTGTCTGATTCAAATTGATTGGTTAAATTCAAAACATGTTATCTTGATCACAAAACAAAACTGCTGATTGGCCTGCTAACTGTACAACCTTTTGATACAAACGTTTCAATTCAAGTGCTTAAAGCAGTGGCTCAGCCTGCCCTGGAGGATTGTGTCTAGCCTGGGCACCACAAGCTGCTGCCCATAGACATCTTTTTGAATCTCTAAGCATAGAAAAAGCACATCATCTTTTCCATGGACCATGCATTGCTTCCCCACCTAGCATTTTACTAACTCCAAATTCTAACTTCCTGTCTTCCAATTCACAAGTACGCTACCCAGCTTCGCAATAGTAAATACTTTCAGTTTGAAGAACTGGATATCCCAATGTATCTAACCTGGAGGGTTCTTGAAATGGCTGCAAAAATTTTTAGAGTGCAGATTGTCTGGGACGAATCCAGTTTTTCCAGGTCCTATATTGACAGTTTAATCAGGATCTGATGTTACAACCAGTAGCCAAACTGAGGAACATCAACTTCCCATTGAACACAGTCATCTCCGAAGGAAAATATCCTTAATCCCCTCCAGCCCCTGCAGACATCTGCACTTATCGCATTCTGGCATCTTCCACATCCCTGATTCAGCTCTAGTGACTGTCTGGGCCCTAATCTCTGGAATAGCACTAATCTCCTTCCAACCTCTCCCCCTCCCACGAGATCCCCCCCAAGTTTTTCTACCAATCTACCTCACTTTCCCACTCAAAATCTAGTCCTCTGTCCCAGCCACTGACTATTCACCCTGATATCACCCAGCTGGGTCTTTATCCAACTTTGTTTAATGATGATCCTGTGAGGTGCCTTGGGATATTTTACTACATTCGGGGTGCTTTTTGAATATAAATTGTGATTGTTGATTAAACTTCACTGTTTTTCTTTTTTATGGGCTGGCTACGTTTGAAGGTATATGCTTGCAATGTTTTACTCTATAAATAAGTACTCTGTAAACAGCTCACATTGTTACTTGTGTATTCTTGTATTCCTTCTCAGAATGTGGGTGGGTATTGTTGAACTGAATGGCTTCAATGGCCATTTCCGAGAGCAATTAAGGGTCAGCCATGTTGCTGTGGGTCTGGAATCACATGCAGGTTAGACCAGGCAAGGATGGCAGATTTCCTTAGGGCATAGAACAGTATAGCACAGGAACGGGCCCTTTGGCCCACGATGTTGTGCCGAACATGACACCAAATTAAACTAATCCCTTCTGCCTTCCCTTGGTCCATATCCTTCCATTTCTTGCATATTCATGTGCTTATCTAAAAGTCCATTAAACACTCCTACCGTATCTGCCTTCACCACCACCCCTGACAGCTCATTCCAGATTCCTACACTCTGTGTAAAAATCTTGCCCCTCACATCTCCTTTGAATTTTCCCCCCTCACAAGAAATGCATGCCCCAAAGTATATTTGTGAATCAAACAGATTTTTAAAAAAAAGTCGATGATCCTGACAGTAGCTTTAAGTTCTTACATTTATTAATCAAAAGTAAATTCCACCAGATATCACGATGGGATTTGAACCTGTTATGATAGTGGTCAACATGGATTATCAATATTCAATTTCATCATTTGATTTTAATGCTTAAGACCTCTCATAAACTAAAAATGATTTTAAAAACAACACATACTGACCTAAAAAATGGCTGCTATAATCACCTAAGTAAACAAAAACAAACACAGAAAATGCTAGAAAAACTCAGTACGTTTGGCAGCATCTGTGAAGAGTGAAATAGAGTTAAAGTTTTAAGTCTGGTATGACTATTCTTCAGAACCGAACAAGAACTAAAGAACTTGAATAAGAACTAAGCAATAATCGGTCTAAGCTGAAATTAACATGGCTATAAAAGAGAGCTGAAACTCAGGCTCAGTTGATACATACCTTTCTGGAAGTTACACATTGAGATGAAAGGTTGTCTGTGGAGCATTCAGCTTTGTAAAACAATGGGCAAACTTTGGAAGGTACAAATGGACCTTCATCAACAGCTGTTTCTGAGGAGCAGAGAAAAGAAACAATGGATCAGCAAGCAAGAACTGGAAGGTACTGTCAACCTGCCTGTTTCTTTCTCAACTTTAAAAGTCAGTGCCGGTGAGAAAACAACACAAAAGCCTGCTAAGAAATCAAGGTCATCTGCAACTTTCATTACTTCTGAGGAAAAGAGAACAACAGCTACTGTTGGGACTCAGGTTTCAATCTCAGAAGACTCTGGAAACTTTTAAACTACAACTGTGTGTTGTGGTAGATACATATCCCTACTTCTTCCTGAAGCTTATTACCTAATGGAAGGATGAAAACTCTCATCTTTCTACAGTCACAATTCTAATTTTATAAGATCCTAGAACGACGACTATTCAGCCCATTATACCTATTGATTGATTGGTTTATTGTTGTCACATGTACTGAGATATAGTGAAAAGTGTTGGTTTGCATGCTATACAGGCAGATTGTACCATATAAAATACATCAGGGTAGCAGAATATAGTGCAGAATAAAGTATTACAGCTACAGAGAAGGTGCAGGGAGAGAGAATTAATAGAGAATCATAGAATCCCTACAGTGTAGAAACAGGCCATTCAATCCATCTAGTCCACATTGACCCTCCAAAGAGCATCCCATCCAGACCCCCTTCTCCATTCCAGTCTCATTGCATTTTTAGTGGCTAACTCACCTAGCCCATACATCCCTGGACACTATGGGCAATTTAGCATGGCCAATCCACCTAACCTGCACATCTTTGGACTGTGTGAGGAAACTGGATCACACGGAGGAAGCCCACACAGACACAGGGAGAATGTGCAAACTCCACACAGATAGGCGCCTGAGTGTGGGATCGAACCTGGCACCGTGAAGCAGCAGTGCTAACCACTGAGAGGTCACCAACATTTGACAGGTCCATTCAACAGTCTGATAACAACAGGGAACAAGCTGTTCTTGAACCTATTTGTACGAGTATTCAAACTCTTATATCTTCAGTCCAACAGAAGAGGGTGGAAAAAAGCATAACCACAGTGGGAGGGGTCTTTGGTTATGGATCCATCTCTGGGCTCTTTAGAAAATTCATCCCACTGTTTGGGTTGGACCTTAAACCACTCCCCAGTGAAATCTATGACTCTAAAAGCCCACGGCCTGGTCTGTCTGTCTGCTTTCTACCCACCTTTGACCCGTCTCCTATTTAATAAATTGGCTTGAGATTGCACAAACGAAAGTATAGATTAATGAAGAGAGCAGACAAGCAGCATTTGTGTTCATCCAGCTCTACACCTTGTTATCTCAGATTCTCCAGCATCGGCAGTTCCTACTATCTCTATAGATTAATGAATCCAGTTTATTATGGAGATCAACAAAAAATGCAACACTAGAGTAACTGTCAGAAATATTGAACGATTCCACCAAAGAAGGCGGCCGTTTGGTCCAATGTACTGGCTCTCTAAAAGGCCAACTCGTCCCAAACCCTCGCCCTTTCATTGCCCTGATATTTCTCTTTCATTTGAAGGTAATTGCCCTTCGGGTCACGGGAGAGAGTGAGAGAAGCAGTGTTAACCTGTTCCAATCCACTGCGACTCCACTTTTCCGAAATTGTGTCGGACTCGAAACATGAAACAAGCTCCAACAACCAGCTTGGAGCGCGTGGAGGAAAGAGTCCTCCCCGCCGTGGGATGGCGCCGCGACTCCAGCTCCAGTCGTTGGTGGGTGGAGTCCTCCCATCCATGTGGTGGCGCTGTGACCCACGGCTCCAGCAGTTGGTGGGCGGAGCCTTCCCATCCATCTGGTCGCGCTATGAGCCCGGCTCTAACGGTTTGTGGTTGCTGCCCTCCCATCCATGAGGTGGGGCTGTGACCCCGGCTCTAACTGTTGGTAGATGGAGCCCTCCCATCCATCTGGAGGCGCTGTGACCCCGGCTCTAACTGTTGGTAGATGGAGCCCTCCCATCCATCTGGAGGCGCTGTGACCCCGGCTCCAGCAAGGCGGCTGCTCTTGGGTCTCCAGTCAGCATCTCGTCGGTGAGTGGAGAGCTGGGGAGACGGACAAGTGGAGCGGGTGAGTGAGGGAGATTCCGGGCGGGTGCTGGGAGGTTCGGGCTTGGGCAGCTCCGAATACAGTCTTTCTCCACAAACACCTCTCGGTGCAGCCTCGTGGGGTATGGGCCCTTGCCGCCATTAAGTTGCTGCTTCCTCCCCGGATGAGGGATGAGGGCCCGAGGCTGGGGGTGGTTGTGGAGCTGGGGACAAACCGGCCAGGCCTCGGGGGTGAAGGACGGCCTGGTCTGGCCCGGGCCCCGGCCCCGGCCCCGGGGAGAGATCCCTGAGTCACCGCCAATCGGTTTTGTTTCGGTTTCGGTTTCGGTTTGTGGATCCGCGGCGTCAGGGCACGGCGTAGGTCGCTCCCAGGGAATACGGCCCCTGGCTTGGAGGCTGGTGGAGGCGGGACATTGATTATTTGTAAGATCGTGAGAGAGCGATTCTGAAAAAAAAAGCATCCGCATTTCTCTAACTGTAAACCTGAAACAAAAAAAACATACTGCTGGAGAAACTCAGCGATTCTTGTTCGGCAGCGGTTTCCAGAGGTACATAGGAATGTGGATGTCGGGAAATAGAACTGTACCACGCAGGAAAACAGGCCCTTCGGCCTACCACGTCTGTGCCAACAGTGATGCCATTCTAAACTAATCGCATCTGCTTGCACGTGATCAACCTTCCCAAGACACAGGGATTGACTGAAAACTGCCAGTGCGTCTGTTCCTGTTTGCTGTACATCAGCCATGTTGGAAAAGTTAAGCGCTCACAGCTCAGGGTGAAAGGATTATGAACCTCTGAACGATCAAGCTATGTCTTCACACTAACGATAATCTTATAAGGTGACCAAGAGGAGCCGGTGTCATATACAACAGATGGGGCATAGAGCCATAGGAGTTGTGCAGCATGGAACAGACCCTTTGGTCCAACCCATCCAAGCTGACCATATATCCTAAATTAATTTAATCCCATTTGCCAGCATTTGGCCCACATCCCCCTAAACTGTTCCTATTCATGTACCTATCCAGACCCGGCCTCTACCCACTTCCTCTGGCAGTTCATTCCATACACACACCGCCCCCTGCGTGAAAAGGTTTCCTCTTCGGTCCCTTTTAAATCTTTTCCCCCTCACCTTAAACCAATGTCCTTTAGATTTAGAATCCCTTGCCCTGAGGAAAAGACCTTGGCTATTCACCATATCCATGCCCCTCATGATTTTATAAACTTCTATAAGGCCACCCCTCAGCGTCTGAAGCTAAAGGGAGAGTAAGCCCAGCATATACAGCCTTTTGCTGTAGCTCAAATCCTCCAACCCTGGCGACACCCTTGTAAATCTTTTCTGAACCCTTTCAAGTTTAACAATATCTCTCCTATTGCGGGGAGATCAGAATTGAATGCAGTATTCCAAGAGTGGTGTAACCAATATCCTGTGCAGCTGCAACATGACATTCCCAACTCCTATACGCAGCACACTGACAAGTAAAGGCTAGCATACCAAATGCCTTCATTGCCCTATCTGCTTGGAACTCCACTTTCAAGGAACAATGAACCTGCACCCCAAGGTCTTTGTGTTTGGCAACACTCCCCAGTTTGCCTTACCAAAATGCAATGCCACACATTTAACTGAATTAAACTTCATCTTCCTCGGCCCATCTGATCAACATCCCGTTGTACTCTGAGATAACCTCCTTCACTGTCCACTACATCACCAGTCTTGGTGTCATCTGCAAACTTACTAACCATTCCCCTTACATTCACATCCAAATCATTTATATAAAATGTCAAAAAAAAGTGGACCTAGCACCGATCCTTGTGGCACACCGCTGGTCACAGGCCTCCAATCCGAAAAACAATTCTTTACCATCACCTACCTTCTACCTTCAAGCCATTTTTGTATCCAAATGGCTAGCTTTCGCTGGATTCCACGTGACCTAAACAAATTAAAACTGGAAAATTACATAGGAATTCTCATGACAGAGTTGTGCGGTTAGTTTAAAGGGAGAGTATTGAGCAGAACAGGTCAAAGTAACAGGGGAATTGAGAAGTCTTTGGATGTTGCCTGTTGCCAGCTGCCAGACACATGAACAGGAAAGAAATGGAGGGAGAGCCACAACCTTATCAAAAGGTGGAACAGACTTGAGGGGCTATTCTTGTTTGGTATTTGAGATCAGATTCAATCAGGGCCTACATTCTTTCACAAGTCTCATTAGCACCAAATTAAATTATTTCTCCAAAGGGTAAAGCCATCTCAGGAAGGTGGCTGTGTCTGGACGTGTGCCATTGGATGCTAATCCAGTGGTTGTCTTCAAACCAGTGAATCTATCCTCCTGCCCTCAAGATGTCATACTGATTTGGTTTATGAATCTCTTGATCAGGAAACTGTAGATTGCTCACTTATGGCATGGTAAGCGAATTATATTCATATGATTTCTCCAGTAGATAAGACCATAAAAAATCAGAACAGGAGTAGGCTGTTCAGTCCCTCAAGCCTGCTCCGTCATTCAATAGGATGGTGGCAAGTCCGGCATTCCTCATGTCTGCTTTCTTGCCCTTTCCATGTAACCCTTGATTCCACATGGAAGAGACAGGATGCCGGTTGATGAGGAATAAACTTGAGGAAGTAATGACAAGAATTACACTGAGGGTGCACTTCCGAGTGGTGGAATAAGAATCTGGTTTGAGACAATGCCCAGTGTGTATCTGTAACTCAGTTCACTCAAAGGGAGGCTCTATTAAGCCTGAAAACAGCTGATTCACCTCACTGGTTCCAGATATCACTGTTTTGGTCATCAGATTCAAGTATTTGATTGATGCAATCAAAAAGTAATACAGTGGATAATTGTTGTGCGGCATGTGTAGGATAAGTCAGGGAGCCTTTGTAAGAAGATTGTCTAACCCTTGCATTACCCTTCAATTCTCTTCATATGTTAGAAACTATTCAGTAAGCTGTCATGAGTTAGAAAATTGTGTGGTACGTGGTTACATTGTGGATTTTTCCTTGTATGTAATTTAGTTGCGAGGTTCCTGTATAGACAGGGATGAGAGTCTGCAGTCCTCCACCCAGACCTGTGAATGCTATGTTGTTGGAAATGATTACTATTGAGACAGACCGGTTGAAACGTGAGGATCAGCCATGATTGTATTGACTGGCGGACCAGGCTCGACAGTGAAGTAGTCTGCTCATGTCCCTGTTTCCCCCATGTTCGTGTGTTACTCTGTGTATAATCTGAGACGAATCAGCAGTGCACTTTTGGGTTCAGTGGCTGATGACAGCACACATTGTTAAGCTAGAAGTGAAGCGGGGGCAGGGAATCTGGGTGTGATGGTCAGCATTGTAAATAATATAGTGTGACCTCATTGGATCACTGGAAGTCCTGAGGGAATTCCCAGTCTACAAGTCTCAATGCTCCACTGCATGATGTTTAAGTGGACCAATCGGTAATGTGGTTAGTTTCTAGTTTAAGCTGCCTTGGTTCAATTCATCGCAAAATCACACATAGGACCATAAGAAAGAGAAACAGAGTAGGCTGTTTGGCTCTGCAAACCTGTTCTGCCATTGAGTAGGCTCATGACTGATCCGATGTTCATTTTCCTGTCCTTTCCTTGTAACCCTTGTTTATCCTACTCAGGAATCTATCTATCTCAACCTTAAATATAGGTGAGGAATTCCAAATACTCTCAACCCTCTGAAAGAAGAAATTCTTCCTGTCCTCAATTGGCACTTCTTTATTCTGAGACTGTGCCCTCTGGTTCCAGGCTCTCCCATGAGGGGAAATAACCTCACAGCAACCCTGTCAACCCCTTTAAGAATCCTGTATGTTTCAATGAGTTCACCCATCATTCTTCTACACACCTCTATTCCAGAGGTGTGCGGGAAGGTGACAGACAGGCCAGTCGCCCCCGCCTCCACCCAAATTCCTTATGCAGATGTGGCCCTTTGGCTGAAAGGTTTATGCCTATTCTGTGAGGCCACAAAAACCTGTCCTGTGTCCTCAGTGATTATAGAGTCATTAGAAAGGTGAAATTCATTTCTTAGACTAAACAAAATTGGCATTATTTGGAACTTTGTTCTATTGAACATTAAATTTTTTGTCAATTTTTGGATTTTTGACATAAAATTTCCTATGTAATGAGCACATTGATAATAACTTACTGTAATTGAATGCAATTAGTAGGGGTAGAATTTTCATAAATAGTGAATTATGGTCACCCCATTCCCGTGATTTAACAATATACTTCCAACTTGAGGCCCAATTTCAACTCTGAGACGAGTAGGTTTTCATTGGGCTAAAATTGGGCCATTGATATTTTCTGGAGCTCATACTAGAGTAATTTAATTGCTGTCTTTATTTTTTGATAAGGATAAGAATTTATTACTGAATGTGCTTTGACCTTTTCTCTCAGGCAGTGCAGTTGATAACATCATTAGCTTATATTTGCAAACCATTTGAGAGAATTTATGTCATGGTCAAAATTAGCAGGATATGGTTCCAGTTCGTGGTTGTAATTCCATGTTTTTACTAATATCTGAATGAGTTTCAAGTAAAGACAAATGTTGATAAGTGTAAAATGGCATCTGTTGAATCTTTATTTCCTACACTTCTGACAGCTTTGAGTTAAATGGTTATTGACTGAGCTGTTTATGTTGATGCTTGACCGACTCTTGAAGCTCTGTTTGGTTATCTGGCTCTGTCTTTTGTGTATAGGAAAGAAATGAACTAATGGCTACTTTCGTGTGGGCTGATCTTCTGATCTCGCACTGCTTCAGTTCAATTCACTGTTGTCAGCATTGAAAAGATGCTGGATACAGACACTGAGACGGTCTTACATCAGCAGATTAGCCCAGACCCCAACTGTATTTCAGCTTGTTCTCCAATGAGCATCATAACTCAGCGCAATTCTCTCGCCTTTTTTACATATTGCTTTTATATATTCACATTAACCGATTTCCTTTTTCTCTTCCCAGATTTTTGATCTAATTTAATACAATGGTGAGTGACTGAAATTTAATTGTGTAGAAGTTTAAATTTGACTTTAACAAGGGAAAATATTTACTACGTTAGAACTAGTTCATTTTAAAAGTTCTGTCATGGCAGGGCCAGCCATTGTTGCACCTCCCTAATTGTCCTTGATATGGTTGGCTTGCTAGGGGACTTACATTGCTGTGGGTATGGAGTCACATGCAGGCCAGAATGGGTAATCGTGGCAGATCTCTTCCCCAAAGGGGCATTAGTAAACTAGATTGATTTTTGACAACAGTTGATTGGGGAAAGCTTTTGAGACCAGTTTTCAATTTAAATTCCACCAGTTATCAGGATAGGATTTGAACTCAGTCCCTAGAGATGGACCTCTGGATTATCAGTTCTATGATGTTACCACTACATCCCTCTTCCAAGTGAAGTCAACCTGATTAAAGTGGGGACTGAGGTACAGTGGGTGAAGTAACTCAAAATTTTAAATAAAGCTGAAAATACAGAAACTGTTACATGTTCCAGGAATCAGAAGCAGTCATGTTGTTTGTAATGAGCTGTGATCCATGTTGAACCCAACATTGCTCTGCTTTGGGTGTGAGGTTTTGGCTGTCATTCTCGACATAGTAAGTTGCTTAGTAAGTATAGTATCATGCTGATATAATCACCTCTAGAGACAATAAGGACTGCAGATGTTCGAAGCCAGAGTCTATAGGTGTGAGACTGGAAAAGCGCAGCTGTCAGGCAGCGTCAGAGGAGCAGGAGAGTCAATGCTTTGGGCTGAAATCCTTCATTAGGACTCTTGACTTTCCTGTTCCTCTGCTGTCTGACCAGCTGTGCTTTTCCAACCTCACACCTGTAGACTGTAATCATCTCTAGACTTTGACTCTTCCCTATGTTGACAGAAAGTGAACTTCTGTCAACTGAATGTGATTTGAGAACAGCTGCCTCAACATTGGTGTGTGGAAACCTAAGGGAAAAGGAGAAAAGTGGTTGCAGGAGAGACACAAGCTGTGATCTTGTTTCATTATAACATGTGATACCTAGCACTAATTTCTAGTTTGTTTGCCTTTGCAGTCTCGAAGATATGACTCGCGAACAACCATATTCTCGCCAGAAGGTGAGCTTCTCTGAGTAGTACCCTTCTATAAAATGGAAAGTTAAACTAGTTTAATGGTCTATTGTGTCATTGCTCGTTGACTGTTTTTTTTTTGTGATAATATAAACTATTCTGTCCATAAAATAACAGGGAGGCTATATCAGGTGGAATATGCAATGGAAGCTATTGGCCATGCCGGAACGTGTCTGGGGATCTTAGCAAATGATGGTGTTCTGTTGGCTGCAGAGAGACGTAACATACACAAGCTCCTGGATGAAGTTTTCTTCTCTGAAAAAATATACAAGTTAAATGAGTATGTATAAATTTGGTACATAACAAATCCATTGGATTGCATTGGGCCTTTCAATTTAAACTTATGGCATAGCCTTTGCTTTAGGTAAACGTGCCTTGGGTTCAGATGACTAAATGGTGAAGTAATCAAGGTGCTTAAAAGGGTTTTGATAAGGAAAAAGTATTTCCTGTCCTGGGTGACCCATACTTTATGCATTTCAGGATAGATATTGGGAAGATAATGGGAAACTAAACCAAGAAGTGCTTTAAGGAAGCTCAGCAGGATAGATAGATTTTGTGTAGCGAGAAAGAGAGAGAGGTATTGGTTCAGGTCTGTGAACTGGGTAAAGTTAGAGATGTCCCACCCTTGCTCAAAACCTGTCACATTTCTAATGTTTCCCAGTTCTGATGAAAGGGTGGCACAGTGGTTCTGTGGGTTTCTGCTGGGTGCTCTGGGTTCCTCCCGCAGTCCAAAGATGTGCAGGTTAGGTGGATTGGCCGTGCTAAATTGCCCATAGTGTCCAGGGATGTGCAGGATAGGTTTTGTTAGCCATGGGAAATTGTGGGTTACAGGGATAGGATTGGGGGATGGGTCTGGGTGGGATGCTCTTCAGAGGGTCGGTGTGGACTTGTTGGGCCGAAGGGCCTGTTTCCACACTGTAAGAATTCAATGAATCTTCTACAGTTCTATGATCACAGACCTGAGCTGTTAATTCTCTCTCGTTCTACACAGATGTAGCAATTATTTGCTGAGTTTTTCCCCTCCATTTTCTGATTTTGTTTCAATTTGCCTGCATCTGCTGTATTCTGCTTTTGACTTTTCCTTTAGACAGAAAATGGATTTGAGGTGCAGATCATATATGATCGAATTGAATAATGGAGGAACCTGAATGGCATATTCTTTCTATATTCTACGCCACAAGCGGCCACCGAGGCCGGTAGTTGTCTATGGTTAGAGCTTGTGATTGTCATGCAATTATACAAAACACTTTTAAGAATGCTTCATATATTTTTAGTCCTGTTTTATTTAATTAAATAAGCAATTAAATAACTATAGAACATAGAACAGTACGGCACATTACCGGCCTTTCGGCCCACGATGTTGTGCCGAACTTTTACCCTAAACCTAAGGTCTAACTAATCTCCACCCCTACCTTATACTATCATCCATATGCCTATCTAATAGCCACTTAAATGCCCCTAATGAGGCCGACTCCACTACCCTCTCCGGCAATGCATTCCACGCCCCTACCACTCTGAGTAAAGAACCTACCTCTGACGTCTCCCCTATATCCACTCACTTTAAAACTATGCTCCCTCGTAATAACTACCTCCACCCTAGGAAAAAGGATGCACTGGCCGGGAATCGAACCCGGTCCTCCCGCGTGGCAAGCGAGAATGCTACCATTGAACCACCAGTGCCAGAGGCATTGCCAAAGTTCATTTTAGTAGATTACAGTTGGGGGTGGAATTTTCTCTGGGGCCGGTTAGTTCAATTGGCTGGATATCTGGCTTGTGTCACAGAGTGACAACAGCATGGGTTTAATTCCCACACAGGCTGAGGTTACTTTGAAGAACTGTCCGTCTCAACCTCTCTCCTTGCCTGAGGCATGGTGATGCTCGGGTTAAACACCACCTTCTCTAATGAGAGAGCTGCCCTCTGGTCTGCTTAGTCTACTTTACCTTTAGAACTTTCTGTATTGTACTTTTGATTCTGTCGATTTTACTTTTATATCTAAATGCTTGTTTGTTGGGGAGTAAAGGTTAAATATAAACTAACATGACCATTTTATATAAAATTTTGTCTTCTAGGGACATGGCTTGTAGCGTTGCAGGAATAACGTCTGATGCCAATGTCCTCACAAATGAGCTGCGGTTAATTGCCCAGAGGTAAGATTAACTGTTCGTTTTGAATGTGATCAACCTCTAAAATAGTCTTCCAACTCTGTTCTAAGTTCTTCTCCAGTTCATTTTAGGCCATTAAAATTGTTCCAATGTCAAACTGCTTCTTGTGCCCTGTTAGTATCTTTGTAGCGAATGTTTGGCTGCGTGTGGATGCCTCTACCAAGTAAAAATATTCCAGCACTGTCTGAGCTGAAGCATCTGCAATCCCACATTTCTTTTCAGGTGCCCACTAATGCTTCTCCACTTGTGTTGGTGTTGGAGATCCAGCAGTTCCATGTAAGCCTTCAACAATTGTAGCATGAGGTCAATTTAGAGTAGAGCAGCTATTTGACCACAGCAATATACTTCAACATTATCTTCCCCAGAACACCTGTGCAGCCGCATAGTGTTTACAGCCATCTTTTCCATCCTTTAAAGCTATCAGATTACACATGATTTAGTGTATAGAACTTGTGCTTTGAGGCAGTGTGCAGTCGCTGCAGTGGCAGGTTGCACTGCATCATGTTGCTTATGTGCAAATCCCACCATCCTGGCAGAAGGAGGCCACTCAACTCATCATCTCTGCACCAGCTTTCCAAATGAATTGTTCTCCTAGTGCTGTCTCTCCACCTTCTCCCTGTCACTGTATTTTGGTTTGATTGATTTTCACTTATTCACACAATGTGGGTTTTGCTGCTAAGGCCAGCATTTGTTAAAGAGACATTTTGACAGACACAACATTAGGCGGGGAATACAGGGATACGGACCATGTGCAGGCAGACAGAATGGCATCATGATTGGCACAAATATGGTGGGCAGAAGGGCCTGTTCCTGTGCTGTACTGCTCAATGTTCAATGTAACGGAGTGATTTTTCTAGGTCACGTCAAAGGGAAGTCAGAATTAAACACATTGCTGTGGGTTTAGTGGTGCACGCAAACTAGACTGAGCATGGGCAACAGACCACCTTCCCCAAAGGACAGTGTAGGCCCACATGGGTCTTAACAACTATCTCGTAGTTTCATGATCATCATTAATGAAACTAACTTTTTATTCCAGGTTTATTAAAGTAACTGAACTTAATTTCCCCAACTCCCACGATAGGATTTTATTTCATGTCTTGAAATTATCAGTCCAGGCCTTTTAGATTAATAATCCAGTAATGTCATGTCTACATTACCTGACCTTGGACTTCAAAATATATTATCATTCGTTCATTGTGGTTGTGTTAAAGTCTTGAAACTTCCTCCGGAACATTGAGCACAGTCTTCCTACTGAATCTACACACAGTCAATAAGGTGGCTCATCACTGCCTTCTCTTGAGTGAATCATTATATGCAACAAATGAGAGTCTTGCCAATGATGCTCACACCCTAGAAAATGAATAAATGAGAAAAAGCTGCCTGCCACTGTGATGGAGAAAGCATTCTTTCTAGAGCAATTTCAGCTGGTTTCAGTATCCCTGGGTTGAAAACGTAGCACCATGACCCTGTAATTTTACAGTTTCACATCAAGTGCCATTCCCCTTAAATAAAGAATTTCTCAATTATCAAAATTTAAGTACACTGGGGAGTTATCAACTATTTGCTCTTTGTAGCAGTAGTGTCAGAATGTTCTTTATGGACAATTTAAGTAATAAAAAGTAGAAATCTCCCCGCACTTTCCACTGTGTAATACTAGTTCCCTTATGCATTCACAGGTATCTACTTCAGTACCAGGAACCAATCCCCTGTGAACAGTTGGTCACAACACTCTGTGATATCAAACAGGCCTACACACAGTTTGGAGGTAAAGGAGAGTAAAACATGTTGAAAACAAAAATGTAAAATGTGTAACCATTAAATTTAAAATTTCATGAAGAATCTATATTGTAAAATTTATACTGATTTCCAGATGAGTAAGTTCTGTTTTTACAGGGATCTAATATGGTTTATAGCTGAGTATGTCTACAGTGCTCATCTTCTGCCTTTGAATTTGAAATGTCAGGTTTACAACAGCATTTTCTTGCTTTGGATGAAGTTTGCTTGGTCAGGATTCTTTTCAATTGCATCATTAAGATTAACTGTGTTTGAATGACAGAGACAGACTAAATGAATTGGACCTATTCACTGATGCTCAGTTGTATCATTCTTGCCTAATTCAGGGGATGGGGTTTCATTTTCCATGGGCAGCACAGTGGTTCAGTGGTTAACACTGCTGCCTCTCAGCGCCAGAGACCCGGATTCGATTCAACACTTGGGCAACTTGTCTGTGTGGAGTTTGCACATTCTCCCCATGTCTGCATGGGTTTTCTCTGGGTGCTCCAGTTTCTTTCTCCAGTCCAAAGATGTGCAGGTTAGGTGGATTAACCATGGGATATGCAGGGATAGGATGGGGGATGGGTCTGGATGGGATGCTGTTCGGAGGTGTGGACTTGATGGGCCAAATGACCTGCTTCCAGACTGTTGGGATTCTATGATTCTATGACTGCCATGATGTGGGGGTGCCAATGTTGGACCAGGGTGGACAAGATCAGAAATCGCACGACACCAGGTTATAGTTCAACAAGCTTATTCAAAATCACAAATTTTCAGAGTGCTGCTGCTTCATCATGTGACTTCTGACTTTATAATTGCCATGGCATTTCAGTACAATGACAAGGAGCATGTGTGTGATGCTGCCATTCAAATGCAACATTAAACCTAGATCCTGCTTGAAATAAAAGATGAAAAGTCATCTGAAATGTCACAGTTAAGAAGAGAAGGAGAATTATTGCACGATGGAGACTGCAGTTTTTAAATTCTCTCTCTACCCTATATTTATTAGCACTCATCTTCAAAGGGCTTATTTTAAAACTGAAGAGAAGTGGGTTGTTGGTCTAAGGGTATAATTCTCACGTTGGGGTTTTTACATCACAGACATGTGAGATGTCTCAGATTCAGTTCCCAGACGAGGCTGATTAGGGGGTACAGAGAATGTTCACCAGGATGTTGCCTGGGATGGAAAAATTGAGCATACTAGATAGGCTTGGATTATTTTCTTTAGAACAGAGAAGACCGAGGGGAAATGTGATTGAGGTGTTTAACATTGTGAGGAATATGGACAAGGTGAATAGAGAGCAGCTATTACCCTTGGTTGAGGGGTCAATTACAAGAGGGCTTAATTTTAGGGTAAGGGTAGGAGATTAAAAGGGGATTTGGGAAAAAAGGCTTTTTGTTCAGTGTGTGGTGGGAATCCAAATGCACTGCCTGGGAAGGTATCGGAGGCTGGAACCCTTATAACATTTAAAAAAAAATTTGAATGAGCACTTCAAATATCATAACATTCAAGAATATGAGACAAGTGCAGAAGTTGGAATAAGCGCACTTTTCGTGGTAGTTCTGTCAATGCAGACTCAATGGGTCGAAGGGCCCTTTCTGCTCTGTATGAATCTATGGAGAATGACTTCAATTCGTGTGGCTCTGATTGAGGTAGGGAAATAACTGGTTCGTGCTGAATATTCAACTTGATCTGTTAGTGATCACTGAACACAAGCAAGTGCTAAAGATAATCATCACTGAGCTATTAAGGAACAACTAAACTAATCAGAGTGAACTCGGTGCTGACTGTTTGGCAGACACCAGAGATGGCCATTTTGTGTGTTTTTGGGTATTATATAACCTGTTCTCCATTGGTGGTGTCAGATACCTCTGTCATACTCTGATTTCTTAAAGGGATTTGCAGCCACGAATCCAACAGCTTTAATGTACAAATTAGGAACAGGAAATGTCATATCAGGAGTGAACAATTCAACCATGTGTTTGTTCCACTATTCAGTTTTATTATGTTATGATCCCCACAGAGACTGATAACATTCAGAAAAGTATTCATATTTATGGTGGTTGACTGGAAGGATTGTCTGAAAAGATTTTCAGTTTCAAGACTATATTGTGATAAATAAGCTAAATCTACACTATCTAATTTTTCAGTTTGCAATGTATGCACAATGTGAGAGAAAATACTCTCCACTAAACATTTTATTCTAATGTATCTAGTCCTCAGATATTCTTAGCATGCTTCCTTTTTCCTCCTCCTAGCCTGATAACCTCTAATGCTTGAACTGGCTCTCATGGTGAGGATTACCCTACAGATCCTTCCTCTAACCAAAGCTAGGAAAATCTTCCAGTCTAATTGCAGTTCTCGTGAACTTAGTCTCTTTGATTCAAGTGTGTGTTCCATTCACATTTTGCATAATGATTGGCTACCTCTCTTTCCCTGATTCTTGCAGGCAACTTAGAGTCATACAACACAGAAACAAACTCTTTGGTCCAACTCATTAGTGCTGACTTGACATCCCAATCTGAACTAGTTCCATTTGCCAGCGTTTGGCCCATAGCTCTCGAAACCCTTCCTATACATTTACCAATCCAGATGCCTCTTAAATGTTACAATTGCACTCATCTCCACCACTTCCTTTGGCTGCTGGTTCTGTACATGTGTCACCCTCTGTGTGAAAAAATTATCCCTCAGGTTCTTTTTCAATCTTTCTGCTCTCACTTTAAACCTATGCCCTCTAGTTTTGGACTCCCCCACCCTAGAAAAAAGACTTTGGCTATTCACCCTATCCATGCCCCTCGTGATTTTATAAACTTCTAAAAGATCATCACTCAGCCTCTGAAGCTACAGGGAAAATATTCCTAACTTATTCAGCCTCTCCCGATAGCTCAAACCCTCCAGTCCCAGCACCAGCCTTGTAAGCCTTTTCTATGCCCTTTCAAGTTTAACAATATCCTTTCTATAGAAGGGCAACCAGAATGGTATGCAGTATTCTAAAAGTAGCCTCACTAATATCCTGCACAGCCACAACATTACATTCCAACTCCTATACTCAATGTTTTGACCAATGAAGGCAAATGTGCCAAATACCACCTTCACTACCATGTCTACCTGCAACTTCACCTTCAAGTATGCACTTGCACCCTTAGGTCTCTTTGTTCGGCAACACTCCCCTGGGCCCTACAGTTAACTATATCAGTCCTGTCCTGGTTTGCCTTACCAAAATGCAACACCTCACATTTATCTAAATTAAACTCCATCTGCCACTCTTAAGCCCATTGGCTCATCTGATCAAGGTGCTGTGGTATTCTCAGATAACCTTCACTGTCCACTACACCACCTATTTTGGCATCACCTGCAAACTTACTAACCATTCCTACTATATTCACATACAAATCATTTATATAAATTACAAAAAGCAGTGGACCCAGCACTAATCCCTGTGTCACACTGGTCAGTCCTCCATTCCGGAAAGCAATCCTCTACCCCACCCTCTGTCCTAGCCCCTCAAGCATCATAACTGGTCTACCATGCAGAACCTTGTCAAATGCTTTGCTGAAGTCCATATGGACAACGTCTACCGCTCTGCCTTCAATTTTCTCTGTCATATATTCAAAAAAACTCAATCAGGTTAATGAGATATGATTTCCTGTGCACAAAGCCATGTTGACTATCCATAATCAATCTTCGCCTTTCCAAGTGCGTGTAAATCCTGTCCCTCAGAATCCTTTCCAGCAACATGCCCACTGCTGACATAAGGCTCACTGGCCTACAGTTCCCTGGCTTTCCTTACAGCCTTTCTTAAACGATGGCACCATATTAGCCAACCTCAGTCTTCCAGGACCTCTGATACAAATATTTCAGCATGAGGCCCATCAATTCCTTCCCTAGCTTCCCACAAAGTTCTGGGAAACACTGATCAGGTCTCGCAGATTTATCTCTCTTTGTGTTTTAAGATCTCCACAAGTTTTTAATTGGGGTAAGGCAATTTTTAATGGTATGAGGCAATAACTTCCTAAAATTGATTGGAGTAAACTGTTCTTTGGTAAAGGGACATTGATAAGTGGGACGCTTTCAAAAGTACGATAACGAGAGTTCAGAGTCGTCATGTTCCTGTTGGAGCGAAAGGTAAGGCTGGTAGGATGAGAGAACAATGGATGAATAAAGATATTGAGGTTCTAGTCAAGAACAAAAAGGAATCATATAGTAGATATAGACAACTGGGTTCAAATGAATCTCTTGAATGGGATAAAGAGAGTGGGGCATTCTTAAGGAGGAGATCAGGACAGCAAAGAGAGGATATGAGATAGCCTTGGCAAGTAAGGTTAAGGATAATCCAAGGAAGATTCTTCAGGTGCATTAAGAGCAAGAGAGCAACTGGAGAGAGAGTATGGCCTCTTAAAGATTAAAGACATACTAAATGACTATTTCACAGTTTTTACTGTGAAGAAAGAAATGGAGGCTAGAGAATTCAGGGAAATAAATATTGCTGCTTTGAAAGCTGTTCACATTACAGAAGAGGAAATGCTAGAGGTCTTAGAAAATATAAAGGTGGATAATTCTCTGGGGCCTGTATCCCAGGACTCTGAGATTAGGTGACCGTTTCGCCAAGCATCTCCGCCTGGCCCGTAATGGCCATCCTAACCTCCCGGTCACTGCCCATTTCAGCTCCCCATCCCACTCCCCCTCCAATGTGTCTGTCCTCAGCCAACTCCAGTCTCTGTGACTCAACGCAAATTTTGAAGAACAACACCTTATCTTCCATTTGGACACGCTACAGCTTGGAGAACTGAACATTTAGTTCTCCAATTTCAAGTAATCTTGCCACCCATCCCCCTTCCAGCTCCCTCCCTCCCACCACCTCCCTCCCATTCCACTTTCTGACCCCCCATTTCAGTCACCAACCATATCTACCACCAGTGTCCATCTATCACCACCATTCCGCCTCCACCCCTTTATCTGCAGCTCCCCCTACCTCCACATCCAGTTCTGAAGAAGGGTATTACCCAAAACATTGACTGCTCCTTTCCTCCAGATGCTGCCTGGCCTGCTGTGTTCTTCCAACCTCCTGTTTACCTTGTATTCCAGCATCTGCAGTTTTTTTGTTTCTTCCCTAGTTTCCATGCCTTTCTCCACAGTAAATACTAATATGAAATATTTGTTTAGTATCTCACCATCTTCTGTGCTTCCACACATAAGTAGCTGCATTGATCTTTAAGGGGCTCTATTCTCTCTTGAATTACTTTTGCCCCCAATGTTCTTATAAAATCTCTTTGTATTCTCCTTAACTCTTTTTGCAAAAGCCATCTCATGTCTCCTTTTTGCCCTCCTGATTTCCCTCTTAAGTATACTCCTACTGTCCTTATACTCCTGTAGGGATTCATTCAATCCCAGTTGACTATACCTTTTGTATGCCTCCTTATTTTTCTTGACCAGGGCCTCAATCTCTCTAGTCATCCAGTGTTCCCTACATGTACCAGCCTTGCACCTTCATGCTAACAAGAGCTTCTCTGTAAATCCAAGAGATTTTCTTAAGTAAATCCTGTAAGCTGCTACTGTCATGAATTTTTGTGATCTGTTCTCCATGATAACTTGAATCATGTGGGTCTTTTAACAGGTAGAAATCTGATAATTTGTTTTCTAAACCCCAATTCTATTCCACCCTGAAATTAAATAGACAATTTAAAACATGACCATTTTCAAATCTTAACATTCCTAATGCCTCACTGTTAGTCTTGAAGTCTAGCAGCCCAATCACTGTCAGCACAGTTTTTTATAGGTGTAAATATGTCACAATTTCTTGTCAGTAAAACAATGTGGACCCACCTTTAACAACAAAGCCGCCCAAGTTTGTTAGCTGACAGAATTCAGAAAATGGCCCAAGACCTTTTTTATTCCCCAAATTTGAAAAGACACTCCAAAACAAAGCAGTCTTAGAAACTTCATATGCATTTACTGAGTGCAACTTAATTCTACAACCCTTCCCCAACCCCAACCATAACCAAATAAAAGGGTTCAGACTGTGAGCCCTGGTGGAGCTTTACAATCAGGAGTTAGAGAGCCTATAGACTTCCTGACTGTTCACCTTCTCAATTAAGTCAAGACTGAGGAGTTTGAGTGTGTTCTCCCTGCCCAGAGGCCAATGAGGCTCTTAAGTTTCAATTAAGGCTCACCCTCTGCTACTTGTATGGGGTGGGCATTATGCCATGTATGGTGGCTGTCAGGTAAATCCTAGTCTTCCTGTGCAGTCATGGATGTGTTGCCCAGTCATCACCCCTTCTCCTATAGAGGAATATCCTGCTGAAAGATGCCCCTACCCCCATCTTTCATTGATCACAGCCAATCTGACTTGCTGTTCTGCTTTCAGGGGCCTGCTGCAATCATCACAGGGTCATTGCAAGGATGAAACCGCTATTAGCAGCTCAGAAAGGCAGGTCCAGAAACCCTTACAACAGAAGCAGACTTACTGCATGACATTAAATCCCATTAGATTTAATGCTGTATTGCTGTTTCAAAGTCTCTGGATAATAATGCTTTGTGCAGAATGACTGTCATATTTACCTGCCTTGGGACGTGATGGCCCAGTGATATTATCACTAGACTATTGATCAAGGAACTCGGGTAGTGGTCTGGGGACCTGGGTTCAAATCCGACCATGGCTGATGATGAAATTTGAATTCAATAGTAATCTGGAATTAAGAATTTGCTGATGACCACAAAACCATTGTCGATTGTTGGAAAAACCCATCTGGTTCACTAATGTCCTTTAGGGAAGGAAAACTGCCATTGTTACCTAGTCTGGCCTACACGTGACTCCAGACCCACAACAATGTGATTGATTCCCATCCATCCTCTGAAATGCCCTAAGAAGCCACTTAGTTCAAAGGGAACTAGAGATGGGCAATAAATGCTGGCCAGCTAGTGACACACCTGTTCCATTAGTAAATAAAACAAATAAGACACCTACCCATTTGATGGAATTTACTGATCATAAAATTGTTCGGGGAGTTTGACAGACGTACTGAATAATTGCAAGTTTTTCTTATTTTGAGTGTATGCTGTTTAAACTTTGCATTGTCTTGTCATGGCAATCTGTATTTAACTGACAGGAAAGCGTCCTTTTGGTGTTTCTCTGCTGTACATGGGATGGGACAAGCACTATGGCTATCAGTTATATCAGAGTGACCCCAGTGGAAACTATGGAGGATGGAAAGCCACGTGTATTGGGAATAACAGTGCTGTAAGTACCTTAATGAAGGACATAGTGACTTAGTGATGTGAGTGGTAAGCGGTGGTCATATGTTGGTTTGATCCTAATATTCCCAATGCGTAGCTTGAAGAATTAGTTCATAGTGATTAATGCAATGAATAATTAAAAAAACGTAACTATAGAATTTATAATAGAAAATATTTCAAGTGACTTCTAACATTGAATTTGGTTTTTAAATGCCAAAAAGGTCCCCTATTTTCACTGCGATGCTCCATTTTGAGACATTCGACCGAAGGTGAAGGTGAAGGTGAATTAGGCATGCGGGCATTCTAGTGGCAGCAATCGGCTTTGCCTACGCTGCAGAAGTAACACTCTACAGATGTTAGACACCAGCAAAAAATACTGTTGGAATCTCCAGGGCAGGCAGCACCTGTGTGCAAAAAATTCAGGGATCCTGCCCATGATGGGTTACCTGGAATGTTAACTCTCTCTAATCCACAGGTACTGTCAAATCTGATGAAAGTTACCTAGGGTCTAATGTGAGCACATTCTCTAAACTATGCAAAACATTTGCCATTATTTGTTCTCGTTTTATTGGCTAGACCAATGCAACAGTACAACAGGATGAGAAAAGATTCATCCCATGTATCCACTCTTCCCAAAAATGAGAACTGGATGAGTCAACCTGCTCACTAACCTGTGATGTTGCCAACTCCTCTGGTGCTGCGAATTCCTGGGGTATTGCTGACTCCAGTGGTATTGCTGATCTGTGGTGAATAGAAGAAAATCTGACCAGATTCAGAAGAAACTCAATTGACTCTGTAATTTCCTAAAACAACCAAGTTACAGATTTTGTTTCAGTTGACTTAAGCTTGTCTAGGTTGTAACTAATATCCCTGTGTCTTAAAAACTTATTTACATTGGAGTTAAGAGCAGAAGCAGACCCTTGACCCCTCGAGGCTGCTCTGCTGTTCATTGAGACCGTGACTGAATTGATTAATCCATATTCCTGCTATCCCTGTTACCTGTTTATGTGCTTATAAAACTGAATCCTGCATCAAAATTATGTTGTCATATTCTATCCCACTTGCTAATCACTCCTGTCCTGTCTGACCCACTGTTAACAACTGAGTCCTCCAGTGCCTGCAGTTTCAAAACTCATCCTGTTATTGTAAGTCACTGCATGATCCCATTACTGTCAGTATCTGTTAGCACCTTCAGAACATTCTGATCCTTTAGCACTCCCCTTTCTGTTCCTTGTCACCGCATCATTGGTGATTGTCTTTAGGTGTTCAGACCCAATCCCTTGACATTTCCTTCCTGAAAGCCTATTTAGGCCAGCACATATAATGGTGTCACTTTGTTTTGCCATTTATCTTGTGTCTGACTTAGATATCTGCAATACACACTGGACGTTTTTTCTCTGTTACAGCCATGCTATAATTGCAAGTTGCTGTTGTATAGTAGGCCCCAGTGTACAAGGCTGATAGAACCTTTGCTGATAAGTCCCATATGTGGCTGACTGCAGGTTCGCACTGTGCAGCTGCTGCTGACTGAGCTATATTAGTGAATGACAGTTGGCAGAAACTTGGGCACAATGGCTCAGTGATTAGCACTGCTGCCTTACAGTACCAGGAACCCGGGCTCAATTCTAGCCTTGGGTGACCGATTGTGTGGAGCTTATATGTTTTCCCTGTCCCTGGGTGGGTTTCCGCCAAGTGTTCCGGTTTCCACATTTCATCAATGTGTAGGAGCAATCAAATGGTTTGTTTTCAAACTGATTCAGTTCAAAACCTGGGGTTGTGATTTCCACACTGTCCCGCTCGCAGTATCTGGCTGTCTTGCTTCCTTCCGCTCACTGGATTTCCTACAAGTGAAGGAGTGGACAGCAAGCGGAAGGAAAGGAGTGAGGGGTCAGCGGGGTGTATGATAGTCATTTACAAATGTACTTCTGAGTTGAGTGGGTACTATCCTATTCTGGGCGCACATCAGTGATATGAGCACAAAATTCCTGTTTGCAGTAGTAAGAGATCTGGTCAAAATTGACCGCTGCGTTTCCACATTAGTGACTGCATTTTAAAGTACTTCATTGACTATAAAGCAATTGAGACATCATCTGGTTGTTAAAGTAGTGATTTCAATGCATTTTTTTCTTTTAATTGGAAATCTGATCAGAAATTTTGCAACTACCAATGACAGTGTTTGAAGATTTCAATCATTGGATGATGTGGTTGATGATACCTTGAAGCCAGCAATTGAATTTCTTTGTTAATCTGTTCCAATGTATGTTACAGGCTGCAGTTTCTATGCTGAAACAAGACTTCAAAGAAGGAGAAATGACTTTGGAGTCAGCACTTGCATTAGCAATTAAAGTGTTGAATAAGACCATGGACGTTAGTAAACTTTCAGCCGAAAAGGGTAAGGGGAATGTAGTGTTGTAAGCTTTTGTCCCAGTTTTCTTTAGCATGTCAGAAATTAAAGGCTGTACTTCACAAAAGATCAAAACCCCATACTCCTAAAAGTTATCATTTTCTGAAATTAATACAATGAAGTCTCAAGATTTTTAGGCAAATTGGAACAAAACCTCATTCAGTGACATTTGTGCAGTTAGCAAGATCTATATTGAAACAAAATAAAAACCTGTAAAAGCCTAGAAGATTTTATAAACATGGGATTAATTTCCCCAATTATATTGACCTCACAAAGTGTGGTAAGAAATCATATAAACCAGGTTAAGTTCCTGGTTCAATCCCTGTTGTATTCTAAGCTCTTTGCTTTGATCATAAAATCATGGCTTTAACTCCACTTTCTCCCTCTGTCCCCTAATGTTGTGGCTCACTACAATTGACTGGCTGTAACCCGCAGAGATGACAAACCACTCTGGGCTGTCAGTCTCGAATGACTACTTTTCTCTCCTGTTGGACATATTAATGTCAGTGGGACAACAAGGTGCGGGGCTGGATGAACACAGCAGGCCAAGCAGCATCATAGGAGCAGAAAGGCTTGCGTTTCGGGCCTAGACCCTTCATCAGAACAGGGGGAGGGGAAGGGGGTTCTGAAATAAATAGGGAGAGAGTGGGAGGTGGATAGAAGATGGATAGAGGAGAGGATAGGTAGAGAGGAAACAAACAGAGATTACGAGAGAGTTGCAGTGGGAGAGAGAGGTTTGTCCGGAGGGAGGAGGGTAACTTCTTCAGGCTAGGCATCCTTAGAAGAGGCTTCGCAGTAAAATTGAATCAGAGATAGTAGGAACTGCAGATGCTGGAGAATCCGAGACAACAAGGTGCAGGGCTGGATGAACACAGCAGGCCAAGCAGCAGCATAGGAGCAGAAAGGCTGACGTTTCGGGCCGAGACCCTTCGGATCAAGTGTCTGCTCCCATGGCTGGAAATTCTACACTACCCAGGGTCCATGGAAATTGGCAGCTTGCGTGAGATTATCTGAGAGAGCTGGTCAGTGAAGGTTTTGGTGCAAATCTGTTTGTCTAGAAGAATGATTGGAGCACAATTTCTCCCTCACTGTGGGAATCCCAAATGATACTGGACAATTACACTGAAATTGGACCCTATTTAAATGCTACTGTTACCACTGGCTATCCAAATTAGCCTGCCATTATATCTTTATCATCATCTTTCAGAGCTGCATTCCGAAGTCCTTCCAAATGAAACGGACACATCCATAGCACACTCCAACTATTTGAGGGATGAGCTAGAAATGAGTGCTTTTAAAACCTGTTGGCTGCGTTGCTTACATTATTCTTTTCGATAAAACCCCTTTCAACTTGAGTGACTGTTGAAGTTGAAATAACTTTTATAATTGAAATTTTTGCTTTTGTACCACAGTGGAGATTGCAACGCTGACCCGAGAAAATGGAAAAACCCGCATCAAGGTTCTGAAACAGAAAGAAGTGGAGGTTTTGATTAAGCAGCATGAGGAAGAAGAAGCAAAGTCTGAACGTGAGAAAAAAGAAAAGGAGCAAAAAGAGAAGGAGAAATAGAACAACAAATTAATTGAGCTGCAGGTTCATTATTCCAGTAAGACTGGAAGTTTGCTGGAAATCTGAATGACTGCAGCGTCTTCAGGAGAGAATTAGGTGAACCGGACGCAACCAAACTTCTTGTACACTTCGCACACCAATTGTATATGCACTAGGAATTACCAGATGGGTTTTTAAAATAAAGAATAAAGGCAAAAAAAGCGTTTCTCATGCATTTATTTCACACACTGTTGGCAAATAGAAGATGGAAGTGCTCTGTCAAGCCTTCTACAGCAAGTACTGTCTTTAAATGGTATATGGGAAGTGCTTAGTATTGCCAGTTGGATACCCTGAGCTGGTGATGGTTCTGAAGAGTGTAAATTATTGGGAATTTGAGAGTGAGGCAGTGCTGCCGTCCAAAATGGGAAACACACTGGTGAGAAGTTATGATCCAGTTTAAAAAAAAAGATTTACAATTTAGTCTGACCATTTTAATTGCTGTACTTTGTCAGATTAAATGTTTGCTTTCTAAGGGCCGAGCCCCTGAATAGCATAAGTTTCAATAGGTTTAACAATTTGCACTGAGTGGTACCTCGCCCAGGAGGCAGGAGTTGTGTTGCTGTGGTTGGTTATTACTGTTCAGCTCACCAGATCCAGGTGACTCACTGCATTGCTGTATAGGCTCTTTTCTCTCCGTCGTCCTTGTCTGTTCCTTTCAGAAGGAAATTATGATCCCAGTTGATAGTAGTACGGGATAAGTCAGATACTAGGTCAATGGGCTGAGGAGTGCTAGATATAGTTTAATTTAGATAAATGTGAGGTGTTGCATTTTGCTAAGACAAACCAGGGCAAGACTTGCACAGTTAATGGTGGGGGGAATATTGTTGAACAGAGAGACCTAGGGATTCAAGTACATAGTTCCTTGAAAATAGCGTTACAGGTAGACAGAATGGTAAAGACAACGTTTGGCACTCTTGTCTTCATTGGTCTTAGTATTGAGTACAGGAGTTGGGACATCATGTGGCTGTACAGGACATTGCTGACGCCACTTTGGAGTACTGCATACAGTTCTGGTCATCCTATTATAGAAAGGATATTACTAAATTGGAAATGATGTAGAAAATATGTATAAGGATATTACTGGGATTAAATAGTTATAAGAGGAGGCTGGAAAGGATGGGACAATTTTCCCTGGAGTGTAGGAGGTTGAGGGGTGACCTTATAGAAGTTTATAAATTTATGTGGGGCATTGATAAGGTGAATAGCAAAGGTCTTCTCCCTAGGATTGGGGACTTCAAAACTAAAGGCAAGAGGCTTAAGATTTATAAGGGCCCTTAGAAGCAACTTTTTCTAAACACGGTGTGGTTTGTGGAGTTTAGTGTCGGAAGAAGTGGCACATGCAGTTGCAATTACATTTCAAAGACATTTGGACAGGAACATGAACAGGAAAAGTTTTGAGGGATATGGACCAAATGCAGGCAAATGAGCTAGTTTAATTTGGGGAAACATGGTCCTCATGGATGAGTTGGACTGGGGTTTCTGTTTCTATACTGTGTAACTCTATGACTCTATAACTAACTCTGTGTTATTTTTGTAACGCATCTTCCAGATTGTGGTAGTAACAGTGCATTTCAGTGGCAGGGATGGGTTGCTAAAAGGCAGCTAAGAAGGTTCATGATATTATTTAGAAACCTGGGTTCTAACCTGAACAGAATACAAATTAAATCAATTGTCAGAGATAGTAGGAACTGCAGATGCTGGAGAATCTGAGATAACAACGTGTAGAGCTGGATCAACACAGCAGGCCAAGCAGCATCACAAGAGCAGGAAGGCTGGCGTTTTAGGCCTAGACCCTTCTTCAGAAATGGGGGAGGGGAAGGGGGTTCTGAAATAAATAGGGAGAGAGGGAGAGGCAGATAGAGGAGAAGATAGGTGGAGAGGAGACAGACAGGTCAAAGAGGCAGGGATGGAGCCAGTAAAGGTGAGTGTAGGTGGGGAGTTAGGGAGGAGATAGGTCAGTCCAGGGAGGATGGACAGGTCAAGGGGGCGGGATGAGATTAGTAGGTAGGAGATGAGGTGGGAGGAGGGGATAGGTGGGAGGAAGGACAGGTTAGGGAGGTGGGGACGAGCTGGGCTGGTTTTGGGATGCAGTAGGGGGAGGGGACATTTTGAAGCTTGTGAAGTCCACATTGATACCATTGGGCTGCAGGGTTCCCAAGTGGAATATGAGTTGCTGTTCCTGCAACCTTCGGGTGGCATTGTTGTGGCACTGCAGGAGGCCCAGGATGGACATGTCATCTGAGGAATGGGAGGGGGAGTTGAAATGGTTCGCGACTGGGAGGTGCAGTTGTTTAGTGCTAACCGAGCGCAGGTGTTCTGCAAAGTGGTCCCCAAGCCTCCGCTTGGTTTCCCCGATGTAGAGGAGGCCACAACAGGAACAGCGGATGCAGTATACCACATGTGCAGGTGAACATCTGCTTGATGTGGAAAGTCTTCTTGGGGCCTGGGATGGAGGTGAGGGAGGAGGTGTAGCACTTCCTGTGGTTGCAGGGAAAAGTGCCGGGTGTTGTGGGGCTGGAGGGGAGTGTGGAGCGGACAAGGGAGTCACGGAGAGAGTGGTCCCTCCAGAAAGCAGATAAGGGTGGGGAGGGAAAAATGTCTTTGGTGGTGGGGTTGGATTGCAGATGGCGGAAGTGTTGGAGGATAGTGCGTTGGATCCGGAGGTTGGTGGGGTGGTACGTGAGGACGAGGGGGATTCTGCTTTTGGTTGTTATTGAGGGGAGGGGGTGTGAGGGATGAATTGTGGGAAATGTGAGAGACACGGTCGAGGGCGTTCTCGACCACTGAGGGGGGCAAGTTGTGGTCCTTGAAAAACGAGGACATATGAGATGTACGGGAGTGGAATGCCTCATCCTGGGAGCAGATGCGGCGGAGGTGAAGGAATCGGGAATAGGGGATGGCATTTTTGCAGGAAGGTGGGTGGGAGGAGGTGTATTCTAGGTAGCTGTGGGAGTTGGTGGGCTTGAAATGGATATCGGTTTCTAGGTGATTGCCAGAGATGGAAACAGAGAGGTCCAGGAAGGAGAGAGAGGTATTAGAGATGGTCCAGGTGAACTTAAGGTCGGGGTGGAAGGTGTTGGTGAAGTGGATGAACTGTTCGAGCTCCTCGTGGGAGCACGAGGCGGCGCCGATACAGTCATCAATGTAACGGAGGAAGAGGTGGGGGATAGGGCCAGTGTAGCTATGGAAGAGGGATTGTTCCACGTAACCTACAAAGAGGCAGGCATAGCTTGGGCCCATGCGGGTACCCATGGCCACCCCCTTTGTCTGTCGGAAGTGGGAGGAATTGAAAGAGAAGTTGTTGAGGGTGAGGACGAGTTTGGCTAAGCAGATGAGGGTGTCAGTGGAGGGGGACTGGTCAGGCCTGCGGGACAGGAAGAAGCGGAGGGCCATTAGGCCATCAGTATAGGGAATGCAGATGTATAGGGATGTCCATGGTAAAGATGAGGTGTTGGGGACCGGGGAATTGGAAGTTCTGGAGGAGCTGGAAGGCGTGGGTGGTGTCACGGACGTGGGTAGGGAGTTCCTGGACCAAGGGGGAGAAAATGGAGTCGAGATAGGTGGAGATAAGTTCGGTGGGGCAGGAGCAGGCGGAGACAATGGGTCGACAGGGCAGTCAGGTTTGTGGATTTTGGGAAGGAGATAGAAGTGGGCGGTGCAGGGTTGGGGAACGATGAGGTTGGAGGCTGTGGGTGGGAGGTCACCTGAGATGATGAGGTTGTGGATGGTTTGGGAGATGATGGTTTGGTGGTCGGTGGTGGGGTCATGATCAAGGGGGCAGTAGGAGGAGGTGTCGGAGAGTTGGCGCCTGGCCTCGGCGATGTAGTGGTCAGTACGCCATACTACAACTACGCCTCCCTTGTGTCAATTTGTTTGCTGTGGTGTTCAGTCACTGTTCACAAGGGCAGTAGGTACATCACAGTGCTATCGCTCCCAAGTCACACACCGTCCTGACTTGGAAATATGTCACCATTTCTTCAGTGTCACTAGGTCAAAATCCTGCAACTCTTTGTCATTGTGAGTCTATGTATAGCACATTTACTAGAGCTGTAAAAGATGGCAGCCTGCCTTCACCTCTCGGGCAACCAGGAATGAACAATAGATGCTGGTCCAGTCAGTGACACCACATCCTTTGAATTAACAAAATGAGCTGCCAATGCACTTTTAACACAAGAACACCAAAGCTTATGACAAACGGAAAGTACACACACTGTGTTGGACAAGAATTAGTTGGTAAACTTATTACAACTATCAGAATGAATAATTCCATCCTTATACCCTCACCAACCACCTTACGGATAATCAAACATGAAGGAAGGTCATCCTATTCCACTTTAAAGTTCCTCGTTCAGGTGACATGGCTGTATTTGATTTCTTTCTGGCAAGTATCTGCATTCACTTGATTCAAACATTAGTTAATGGCTTACCATGAGACCCTTAAGTTGTCAACACAGCTCACTTATTTCTTAACGTAAGTTCTTTAAAATCCCTTTCCACAGCCTTCAGCTTTTGATGCTTTCTCTTTTCTCCTGCCCTGTCTTCTGGATACTGCTCAACTGCACTTTTTGGTGAACTACTACAGTTGCTCTTACAGGCTTTTCTGTCTGAATTGACTGCGACCAGAAGGAACCTGCACTCTAACTGGTCTTTCAAGTACTTCTCTTCCTAAAGGGATACTTGCTCTCTCTGTCTCCCTGTTTTAATGAATTCACTGCTGTACATTTAGATTGACCAGATAATGGCAGGAAGCTTGTGTCTCACCATGATCCGCACCAAACAATATCTGCCACAAGATGGTGTCCTTGATGTGCATTCAGAACAGACTCCAGGAGGAGAGCATAGCTGAAAACAGATTTCAGGGCCTAGGGCAGGAAAGAATGATGGGAAGGAAGGCCTGGGTGGGGATAGTAATGCCCTGAAGGTAATTAGGAAGGGGCACTATCTGGAAGCAGTTGGGGGTGGATAGGGGGGAAAGGCATTGTTGTCAGTCAGGGCAAGGAGGCAGGGCTCATGTAAGGGTAGGGGAAGGTCTTTGTTATTTTCAGGTATAAAGGTTCTGGTCTCTGGCTCATCTAAGGTCATTCAGAGGCCCCCAACATGGGATGACACAACAGCATGAAACAGAAAATGATCAACAGGAAATGGATGAAGATCCATGAACTTT